CCTCTGCCATCCCCTTCTTCTTTTCCCGTCAATCAATCATTCCCAGCATTAGGCTCTTTTCCAGTGAGTCCTTCCTTCTCATTAGGTGGCCAAAGTATTTGAGTTTCATCTTCAATATCTAACCTCTCATAAACTCAAGACTTGTAGTAGGCCTTCCTCCTCCTCTTCTCCCTTTGACTTTTCCTAGCATGATTGTCTTCTTTAGTGAGGCTTAACTTCTCATTATGGGCTCAATGTACAACAGTTTCACTTTTGTCATGTTGCTTCCAGGTTACTATAATATAGCTCTAAAACATACAGTTAGAATCAAGCAGCCTTGGAAGGAAAGCATAGAAACATAGAAACAGAGCGAGTGAGAAGGAGCCTCCCAGGCCATCTAGTCTGACCCCCTAGGCCTAAAGCATTTCTCCTGGTGTTAGGCTAGGGCCACAAAAACCATCTGTGGTACCTTTGTGGCATAAATTTTGTGAACCAGTCCACTTCATAAGATGTTTTAAATGTTATCCTGAGTTCTAATCATATACACAATGCAATACACACAAGCATACACCCATTTGCTGAAGGATACTGAAGTGTGTTTTCTATACTAAATTGAATTATCAGTCTTCCACATTTAAAAGCCACTATGTTGCTTTTTGTTTCAATAATCACACTTTGGTTATATAAAAACACAGGAGAAATTAGAACTGAATTGCAACCTGTTATGAACAATTAAAAACACAGCATGCATGAGAAACTGGCAGGTTACACAGCAGGTGGTGCCTTAAGGCACTTACACTACAGATAATACACCTCCTTTCTTGCCGAACAATTAAAGAAACCCTGAGGAATTCAACCCTAGATAACGTCGTCTGTCAGCTCATACTACACATGTCCACATCTCGTGGCAAAAAAGGACAAATCATAAGAAGCCCTCTGAGATGAATGAAATGTCTAATAAAAATAATTTACTAACATGAAGAAAGCAACCATCACTTTCTTTTATAAAGCCAAATGCTTGGGATTGATGGAAAGTATGTGAGGGGCTGACTGGATGCCTGTCTTCAGTTCGTGTCAAGCTATAAGTTTTTCTCAGACTGCAGTGTTGCTCTTCTGCTTTATATACATGAACAGCAGACAGAAACACACTTTTGTTTAAGGACCAAATTTGCCCCGAGAGCCTCAATATCAGCACAGGTTTCCCCCTTAATGTTATGCCATAAAGCATAGCAGGAGTCAATGAAAAATGAACCAACTTCTTTATCTCTGCAATAAGGAACAGAACATTGTGTGACAGGACACAAAACCATTATGTTCAGTTCTGGCAAATTCTTTCTTAACTTAATGGTTTCTTTTCATTCTTGATTCATATATGTGAAATGCCCAGTTCCTAATATTTTCTGTACCAGACTCTTAAAAGGCCCAAATACCATTATGCTTTAGCATCTGATCAAGCAAATATGAGAAAGAAATGTTGCCAGAGGTAATACTGCAAATAATCCAGCATAAACTGATCTTTAGATCAGCAGTAGTAAACAGAGAATAAATTAGGTTCCAAGTATCCTAGGTTTTCTGGTTAGAATACATACACCTAAGTCCATGTATCGACAAAAGAAATTAGGGCTCCAGTATTATAGAAAGTACAATAGGAATAAACATTTTGACACTTCCAAGGCCTTTAAACACGCGCACACACACACACACACACACACAGAGAGAGAGAGAGAGAGAGAGAGAGAGAGAGAGAGAGAGAGAGAGAATATGCTACTTGTAAATACAATTAATATGAAAGTCCAAAAGAGCCCAGTATCAGTTTAACATCCCGATTGTAAAGGGGGAAGTGTAAAAACATAGGTACTTACGTGATGTTTCTGACCATAAGCCTAATGTGGGCATTACCTTAACTGTGCTGGGCTGCAACATACATGCCCCTAATGGATTTCCAAAATGCCTCCTTCCTTGAGCCTTTTCAACACAGCTCATCCTTCCTGCCCTTCCTGAACACACGGGAAGCCCTTGTATCATGATTGGAAGTGTCCATATTCTAACCCTAACCCTATACTGAGAATTAGCCCTAACACTAAAAGGGGGCTGAAATGGACCTGCCCCAATAGGGATTTAAAAAATGTCCCCTTCCTGGACATTTTTCTGCACAGCTTATTCTTTCTGACCTTCCTGAACACCCTGCAGTCTTTGAAACCATCATGGGAAGCACCATTTCTGTAACCGTAACCCTAAGCTGAACATTATTTCTAAACTTAAAAGGGTACCAAATTATACCTGTCACAAAACGGATTTCCCAAATGTCCCCTTTCTGGCAATTTTTCACACAACCGATTCTTTCTGCCTTTCCTGAACACAATCCTTGCCTTTAAACCATCATGGGAAGCGTTGTTTTCTGAACCATAACCTTAAGCTGGGCATTAGCCCTAACCCCAAAAATGGCTAAAAATGTTCCTGCCGCAGTAGCGCTTTCCAAAATGTCCCCTTCCTAGAGATTTTTCTGACCAGCTCATCCTTCTGCCTGTCCTGTACACCCTGCAGGGCTTTCCGCATCATGGATAAATGTCCTTTTTCTAACTCTAACCATAAGCAGAGCAATATCCCTTAAACTAAAAGTGGGCTGAAATGTACCTGTCACAAGAGGGATTTCCAAAATATCCCTTTCCTGGAAATTCTTCTGCATAGCTCATCCTTTCTGCCCTTCCTGAACACACTGAAGGCCTTGAAACCATATGGGAAGTGTCATTTTTCTAACTCCAACCCTAAGCTGGGCATGAGCCCTAACCCTGAAAGTGGGCTAAAATATAGCTGCCACAATGGGGATTTCCAAAATGTCCGCTTCCTGAAAATTTTTCAGCATATTTCTGCCCTCCCTGAACACCTGGCAGTCCTTCACAATATCATTGGAAGAGTCGTATTTTTTTAACTCTAACCATTAGAGGGCATTATCTCTCACCAAAATAAGGGGCAGAAAAATACTTGCTGCAAGAGCGGTTTTAACAATGTCTCATTCCTGGAGATTTTTCTGCTCAGTTCACTCTTTCTGCAGTTCCTGATGACACTGCAGGCCTTCACACTATCATGGGAATTGTGCTTTTTCTTTTTTCGTTATGTCCTGTGACGTTTATCCTCATGTATGTAACTGGGTTTGAAGTTTCAAACTTCACATTTCACATCCTGAGATTTTGTTTTAATGGTTTCCTCTTCTTTTGTTACAAATTTTAATATATTTTTTTCTAATTGATCTTATATCCTGAATAAAGTCCAATTTTTCCAACTTGCTTCATTATATGCTGTATGGATTGATGTGGATCCAAAAAAGTCAAGACTGTATCATCTGTGTAGCATTTTATTTTATATTCTTCTCCACCTGTTTTAAAGCTTTTAAGTTTTGGATCCTGTCTTATCTCTTTTGCTAGGATTTCCAATACAAGATTAAATAAGAGGCGATAAAGGGCATCCTTGACATGTTCCCTTCTCCATTTGAAAGCTGTCAGTTCATTCACCATTGATTAGAATCTTCACACGTTTGGTATAAATTGCCTGCATCCAATTCAAAAAGCTTAAATGTTGGAGGGTTTTCATTAGAAGAGGCCAAGCCATGTTATCAAAAGCTTTCTCCGCATCTAAAAAATGAATGCAGCTTTTTTCCTTTTCTTCTTAACCCATTCAATTGCATCAATCACAAAATGTATATTGTCTTTCATGTTTTTTTAGGGACAAATCCAGTTTGGTCTCTATGGATGTTTTTTCTATACATTTTCTTAATCTTTCTGCCATTATTGAAGTAAAAAGTTTATAATCAACATTTAATAATGAAATAGGTCCGTAAGAGTGTGGTAACATAGGATCATGTTCAGTGTAGGGTTAGGGTTAGAAAAAGAACACACTGAATGATGATGTAAATGCCTGCAAGGGTATTCAGGAAGGGCAGAAAGGATGAGCTGTGCAGAAAAATCTCTGGGAAGGGGATATTATCAAAATCCCTTTTGGAACAATTTCATTTTTGCCCCCTCTTAGGGTTAGGGCTGAGGCTCAAAGTAGGGTTAGGTTTAGAAAATTGGTGCTTCCTATGATGATGTCCATGCCTGCAGGGCATTCAGGAAGTGCAGAAAGTATGAGCTGTGCAAAAATATTTCCAGGCAGGGGAGATTTGCAAAATTCATATTAGAACAGGCCCACTTCAGCCCCCTTTTAGGGTCAGAGCTTATGCTTAGCATAGGGTTAGTGTTAGAATAGGCGCACATCCAATGATAATGCAATGCGCTGCCAGGTGTTCTGTAGGGGTAGAAAGGATGATCTGTTCAGAAAAATCTCCAGGAAGGGGACATTTTCATAATCCTCCTTGGATCTGGTACATTTCAGCCTCTTTTAGGGTTTGTGCTAATTCTTATTGCAGGGTTAGTGTTTTAAAAACGCTGTTTCTCATGATCGTTTGAAGGCCTTCATGGTGTTCAGGAAGGACAGAAAGAATGAGCTCTGCAGAAAAATCTCCTGAGGAGATTTTAATAATCCATATTACTGCAAGCATATTTTGGCCCCCTTTTTGTGAAGAATAATGCACAGCTCAGGGATGGTTTTAGAAAAACAACACTTCTGTTGATGGTGTGGAGGCTTGGAGAGTTTTCAGGAAGGGCAGAAAGAATGAGCTGTGCAGAAATATCTCCAGCAAGAGGCTATTTTGGAAATCCCCATTGGGACATGTACATTTTGGCCCTTTTTTAGCATTTTGAGTAATGCTCATTTTAGGATTACAGTGAAAAACATCAGGTTTCCCATGAAGGTGTAAAGGTCCGCAGGGTGTTCAGGAAGGGTATATGCGTCTCTAGTATATGCAGAGGTAGCTGGAAATTAGTTTCTTCTTATTAGTATTCATAAATAGTAGTGGCACAAAAAAGTAGTATCTCATCATTTTAGCAGAAAACTGTCCCATTTCTAGTATATAGGTATGTATATTTTTGGGCATAATCTGAAAAATAAAATTGTGTTAAGACAAATTGTTAACAAAGTTACACACATTAGAATATTAATTTCTTTATTAAGGATATCCTACATTTACTGTGCGTTTAAAGATTTACAACCAAAGGAACATTATTTACATGCAGTTGACATTCTAAAAGGATACAAACCATGTTTATAAATCGTGTCAAATTAAAAAAAAATGACACAGTTGCCCCCCAAAGACTTGCAATAAACCAGGTTGTCTTCAGCCAATTAGACATTCACATTCTCTTAAAGAATGAAACATTGCATTGATAATGCACCAATTAACTATGATTACACTGAAATAGTCTAAAACCTGAGTCAAACCTAAGTACGCTCTTAATAAAAATAAAAAAAGATTATCTTTAAAATAGCGATTGGTCAGTGGTCAATATAGTATATGTATAAAGCTCCAAAACACTGACTCTTACTTCCTGCAGTAGTTTGATAAAATGCAGCACTGCATCCAATATTTCATTTCCCTCTCCCTTTAAGTTTCATGCCTGCATTTGATCCCATAAACATGTCCCACCCATTCTTGTGGGACAGGATTGAACTCCAATATTTATTTACAGAGTAATGCTTCTGATTTTTATTAACACCTGAAACCAAAGTGTTGAACAACAAAGAAATTGTTCACATTCCCCATCCCCAGGACAGAAAAAAAAACCTTGCTAATTAGTTGTTAGTTTAATAATTAATGTTCTAGTGGTTAAAAACTCTTATGTATCAGATTAGTTGAATTAAAACATCTGGATATGTTGTATGATCTCTCTTCTAGCTATCAAATTAGGAAAGTAATTCCTAATCTGAGAGCAATTGCTACCCTGTGAATGTAATTGCTACACTGTCTAGAAGATTTGCTGTTAATTTTTTTGTAATATTAGTATTGTCAGCCTTTTTGGTGACCTGTTTGTTGTAATTAATATTACAAATAATTTTGTAATATAATTCATGATTTGTCATTCCCTCTACAATTTTTAAAGTAACTTTGACTATGGTATTTTACCCATTAACTCATCTAATTCTCAAGTATTAGATTTAAGACCTTTGCAGTTTCTATGATTGCACATGAGATGGGAGTTGCTTAAGGCATGAGGATGGTCAAACTACAATGTACCACTTAGACTTGTTTTATGGATTGTCCAACAGGTATTGCAATCTATGGCTACCTTCTTGAAGAGCAGGAAGTGGTTATAAAATAAGGCAACTTTTTCTAATCTTCAGCAAATGCCACTTGAGGAAACTTTTCTAATATAGTGTAGAAATGTATTCTGTCTCACAGGAAATAGCTTTCATTAGAGTTAAATACAAAAGGAAATTTCTTGTGGGACCTCTCCTATACAACACCATGTAGAACTGTTCCCATTTTAATGGTTATTTATATTATACCTAAATAAATTATGAATTCTGCAGCTCTCATCCCTAAACTCAAAAATTCTGCTTTCCAAATTTAGCAGAAAATTACAAATTAATCTAAATAATAAGTGCCATTATTTTAGGTACAGCAAATATTTTACTACTAATCTATGGGAGCATATGCTTAGCTCCAAGAAGCATTTTCCCATTTAGCATGTTAGATTTCCTAGATTTAAAAAAATGACTTAATTGAAATGTCATTTAAAGGTGAATGCCCTAAGTTGTCACTGGTAAATGTAGCAGTAAATAGATAAATTGATGGCCTGTTACATTTCATGTTCGAAGCCTTTGATGACATGAAATTGGAATACACAAATTTCATCCCTTAATTTGTAGAATACAAGTAGACATATTTTAAAGAAATGATTGAGTGGCAAATTAAGACAAGCATTTCAACTGTCCTACAAATACAGAGAATATCAAGAGCCATCTCTTCCGGCAAAGAATACTTTTCTGAACAACTGCAGCAGTGAATCTGAACAGTGCACAAGAAAGCTTGTTTATATACATCTGAATGGATTGATGTTTAGCATGACTTGTTTTCAGTCACTAATCAGAAGACTCCAAGACAGGGGGATCAGATGACTTGGGAATTCATTTGGTAGAGTTTTTGCCATGACCGAACAAGTCACGGATGTCACACAATGCTTGTTTGAGGTTTTTTCCAAACCGACAGGAATCCTGAACAGTAAAATTAAGAGTTAGCAATCCAAATTCACAGTTATAAGGAACTATGTTAAACATAAAGGGCAGAATCCAACAAAGCACTTATGCCCTTGCGGATTTCTTTTCATCTCACCAAGTGCCTTCCTTAAGTGGTAGGGTCCACTAATTCTGTTGTGCTAATTCAGTTCTAGAAGGAGCCAAGTCAGTAAAACTATTTTATGCAAGCTGACCTGATTCCTTCTAGAAATCACAATTTCTTTTGTTTTAAGTCGGCCAGAGGTGCTGAACCGTCATTAACTAGTGGTGGGTCCCATTTGCCCAGTGGACCTGACCAAGCAGAAGAGCCTTGTTGGATTCCACCCATTAAATTTAAATGTAAAAAGAGTAGTACATTTAATTTTGCCCCAACACCTTTACAGACAAAATATGCTCATTTAAGATTTGACTGATGGGTAATATTTGTCCTTATTGACAGTATCATATAGCAAAACTAACACAGTAGGACATGACTGCCACAGATATAAACCTTGCTGATAATTTCTCCAACATTTTGTATTGTTGTCAGTACTAATACACCACTGCTGTAACCATTTTAACAAGTTCTTACAAAGAATATGGATAGTTTTCTTTGAAGGAGTCACCTAACTTATGCCATCTATTTTGCTTAACAACTGTAAGAAACACATCATATAGAAAAGCCCTTAGTAAAAGAATCATATGATTATACATTTGATGAAGGAGAATCCAATTCATTCATATTCCTTGAAGCTCTTGTTACAATGAGAAGGATTGTGTTTCTACAGAAATCCTTCTGTGACCTCCTTTTTGTTTTTACTTTGCATATTCCTTTTGTTTATTGGAATGAGAAATGGAACCAATAGAAATATTCCTGAAATTTATTTTTCTATTTTTTCCATTTTTAAAGTGATATTAAAAAGGACTATCTACCCACTTCAAATCTCCTATTTTTTATCTTTCCAAATAAAATTTGTTCAAATAATGGTGAAACTTTTCCTATTGCTTCCGTGCTTCCGTGCAGTTTCCCTGATACTCTCTAGATACAACTATCCTTCACTGATTTGTTTAGTAATATTTATGGACACTTGGATCTCCCTATTCCCTATGATATAACAGCATTAATCCTACCCATACCAGTTTAACATACCTGACCCTAGATAATCATTTATTTATTTATTTATTATTACATTTATATCTTGCCTTTTTTCCATATGTACAGAATCCAAGGAAATTTACAGAGATTTCTTCCTCCTCTCCTTTTTATCCTCACAATAACCCTGTGAAATAGGCTAGTCACCTGGTGAATTTCATGGCTGATTCCCATTCCAACATTCTAACCACTCCACCACACTGATTTTTCGCATCCCTTTTTCTTTTTCCTGATCGCAGGTTACAGATTTAACTTCTAGAGTTAATTTAATTACTTTGAAATAATTACTGCTAAGTATTTGCATTAACTTTGGAATGAACCAATAACTTTCCTATTACTTAATATTTATATATTATATTCCATTTTTAATAATGAGAATGCAATCCTACCATAGTATCCATGAATTACCAATATAATTTTCAAAATAAAAGCTTCTAGAATCATAGAACAGTAGAGTTGGCAGGGGCAAAGAAGGCCATAAGGTCAAACCCCCTGCTGTTATAGGACACCAATTTACACCATCTCACTCAGGTGGCTGTCCAGTTTCATTCTGAATGTCTCTACTGTGGAAGAATCCATGACCTCTCTAGACAACATGTTCCACTGTGGTATTGCTCTGACACTTAGGAAACTTTTCCAGCTACCTAGCCTGCTATCTATAGTACATCATCATGCAGAGTCAACTTTTTGTTACGCATAAACAGCAAATAGGTTCTATGCAAAGGTATCTCTAACAGAAAAACTAGAATATTTAGTTAATATCACAGAACAAGATGCCTGGTGACTTTAAGTTTAATAAAACACTTACTGTTTCAGGGCAAGAATATTTGCTGGATACATGGAAATTGATGAGATCCTCACCCACAATTATATAAGACACACCATAGCCATCATCAGCAACCTGTGGAAAAGAATGCCTATTTAGAATGCTTCAGTTCGAATACAATTTATATAAAACCCAAGCTATTATCTTTTAAAACACACTAAGAAATGTTTTGTTCACTTTTAAATGTGTTACAATGAAGTCAGTTAGGTTCTTTGCAGTCATAACATAAACCGGTTTATAATTATGGGTGTGAGTCTAGGGGAGTGTCACTACTCCCTTTACCTCTGGCAAGGCTATGACATCAGAAGCTTTTGCCCAGCTTACCTTTTAAACTATAATTTACTGAACAAGTAAGCTTCATAAACCAAGGTTTAAAGTTGGTTTATTTCAGTAAAGCACAGTTATAGGTAACCGGTTTGTCTGCGTTTCAATATAAAACTTGAAACCGTCCCAAGATGCCAAGGCATGTGGTGACGGCATACAAAAATTTTAAATAAAATGAATGTATAAAACTAAACAGCATGTGATCAAAAACAGAGATGGAGAAGCATATGAACCCAAAATTTCCCTATACTCCTTCTTGTGATGACAAGCAGTTTATTGTTATGTCTATCATTTTCTTAGAGGAGGAGTAGACAGAAGATAGACTCCTAATTGCCTGGCAGCAGCGAAAAATCTTCACACACACACAAACCAAATTTGGTTGCTGAAAAACCAGGAATGGATTGTTATGTAAAAGACTATTATTCCAATACTTGATTCTGATTTTGTAAACTACTCAAAGAGCTTTGGTTATTGGGCAGTTTAGAAATCAGATGATGCTGATGATCAAAATTTCTGTACTTAGCCTGTGGTCAGAAGTAATTAATTTCATTTCTTACACTTCTATACTACTGAACGATATCTGTACAAATGTGCCCCTCTATGCCACTATTCTACATCTGGTTTCAGTTGATTAACCTCAGGGTTCCAACAGAAATTTTAAAAATACCATGAGCCTATCCAGCCTAGCTACAGAGTTCAGAAGTCAAATTTCACAAAAAATGGTAGAAGACATTGCTTTACTCTATATAATTTATATAGTTTTTAATATTGTAACATAGGATTTTTATATAAAACCTACAGCATATATTCAAGTGTCACACAGATCAATGGTTTCCTGAAGGGTCTGCTTCCTCTAAAACTCATATTTTAAAAATAAAATTCAGGTAAATGATGTCAAGCTTTCATATTTAAATTAGATATATATGCACCTTATTTCCTACAAAGGCATCAAAATAGCACACAAAAATTAAAAAAGAATTTTAAAACAATGAAAATACCTTTGCCTTTTTAAGCCTTTAACCACAGTACTTAAACTATTTCATAAAAACATCCTCAATCCAACACAGAGACTTTAGCATGTACTGGTAACCCAAGTAAAACTGCTAATAGTAAGTTTGTGGAATTGTCTAGAAGGGGTTTTGGTCAAATCATGTGTTGTACACTTATTTCAAATTAGAAAAGTATTTCCCATGTAAAAGCTGCAAAAAATCTTCTCACCCAATGGGACTTTCTTCCCTTGTTGTGCTACCCCCACCCAACAGCTCTGAAAGGTCCTCTGAAACCTGCACATGTGATTATGGAGACATGTGCAGAGCAGCGGAAATATTTGAAGCTCCATCTGCAGTATTGGTAAAAATCCAGAGGACAGAGCTTTCCTATCTTGATAAGACTTTTAAGAGTTGAGCTGCAGCAGAAGTTACTTAATAGCTCATCAAAAAGTCTTTACAGATGCAAAAGAATTCTCAGCTCCCAGTGTGGAAAACTAATTTTGTGCATATTCCTGGAAATTGGAAAAAAAAATAGCCCAGCTCAATGGGCTTCTAATCATTTGGTCAAAAGAGCAATGGAAGTCTGTCAGGTTCAAACAGACAAAGCTTTTTCTGGCTCATAATTAAAGCTTACATTTTGGAAAATTATTCCATGACTTGCTATTTCACTGTGGGTTCTCATTGTGCAGCTTTGAAAGAGCAATCACTACTGAGATTTCCAAGAACAGTGGTGGTGGGAGGGGGTTTCCCTTCTTGTCAAGAGCCTTACTTTCAGCTTCTAGGAACTCAAAGTCAGACTGATCACTCAGGTTTGGAAAACATGACAACCCATCAACCACAGCCTGAGTTCTTAGGATAGTGTTGGCAGGGGGCAGGGGCACACATGAACCATCCAGTCTGGGTTTATATGACATTATAACTCACCATGGGTAGGTAGCCACAATAGATAATAATGCTGTGAGAGCCAGGTCTGTGTGTCATATAATGTGTTATTGCAAATGGTAGTATTATTGCTAATTACTTAAGTATTGTAGTATTGCTGCTACTGTATTGATATACTGTCCTAAGAAGATCAATTGTACTTGCTTCTTTTCAAGGTACCATTCAACTTACAGGTCCAAATCCTCCACCACTGGACTCCATTCCAGGATTCTTTTGCAAATCAATATGCTGTTGGGGTGTCTGACTAGTTGAAAGTCTCCAGGGTTCTGCTAAAACCTAAGAGAACCAAAAGATATAAAAAACAGCACACTTAGCAATTTGCAAACAGTGAATCACTTGCAATTCTAGCAAATAATCCATTTTTTCCTCTCCAAACATTTTTCCCCCTCTTGGAACCTCGCCAAAGGAAATAGGTTATCCCAAAAGCTATTGGAAATGTTGCTAGTGGAGCAAGTCAGCAAACAGGGCTGCTGCCACTGTGCTTACCTCTACAGTGGAACAAATGGAGGTTACACATCAGTTATGACTGGTAATCTGCAGGCCATTTCAATGCTTAGTGGTCCTTACCAATAGCAAAACTATCTAATTTAGATTTTCACAAGACCAGCTGTTTATTACAGTTATATTTCATGAGATCTGTCCTATGTATGTGCTCAAGAGCAAATATAACTCTTCCTGAAAAAATGCAAAATCCAGGAGCCAGATCACAAGAAAAATGTGACTCATAACACCATGTCTGGCTTGGGGTTTCCTCCATAGTAGAGACTTCCTCTTCAATAAAGCTAGAATAAATAATTGAAGGATGATTTATCCTGGAGGATGACCTTTGTGGAATATATCCCACACAGTAAGATGCATGTGTGCATGCCGATCCAGCAGATTAGTACCCAAAAAGCCATCCATTTCCACCAAACCAGACATTCCTGTTAAGAGCTCACAGCAATGCTGAGATACACCACATGGAGTGGGGGGACTCTTCCACACAGTACACACGAATGACTTGGAACACAGAAATGCCACCACATGGTGGTAGTTCCAGTCAACTTCTATGTAGTGGAAGAAGACGACTGCTAAATGAAGTTATGGATCTTTCAGACACATATTTTGATTGCTAAACTACATTCCATCCAAACACTCAGTGCAAGGGAGACTTAGGGCAGAGAAAAAGAGAGCCAGAGTCCAGGAAGCTGAGCCAAGGAAATCCAACAGATTCCTCATGTATTGCTAATCTTTCAAAAAGTAGATCACAAATTATTGTTACAGTTTTTGTTTTCAGCCTTCTGTTTCCTATTTTTACAGTTAGCAAATCTAAGCTGTAACTAGGGAACAGCAGCTCCCAGATTTCTCTCAACACTGAATATATTGGTAATTCTTACTCAGATAGAAGAGATTGCTCTATACCTCATTAGACTATTTGCTCAACTGGGCCAGAACCTTCTCTAAATCTGCATTTATATATAATAAGTGTATGCTTTTAAATTTCAAAAATGCCCATGTTTAAATCATTAAAAACCTTTTAGTAACTACTAGCATTTTCTTCATAGTTCAAAATTTCCAGAAATCTGCAAATAATACATAGCCACACTCATGTAGATTTCTGTAATTATTTGTTTGGTAAATATTATAATACTACTTACTTCCTTAAGAAAAGGAGATTCAACAGCAAGGTATTTAGACACCACATAAAGGCAGAAAAGATGGCGATCAATGCCTGAACCAGTCATGGCAAGACGATACAAGTGCTGATGTTTAGCAGCAGCTGCCTTGAATAGTGCACGCTTTTTTTCAAGCTGAAGATTAAGGGAAAATATTTGAGATTGCCAGTTTAAATAGCACTAACATAATCTAGAAGCCTTGAAAAAGACAGAGTATGGCCCCACCACCAATACCTATTGTGGGCATACAAAACCTCCACCCAAGTTTCTCCACCTGTAATATCCTACTATCATGACTGGACTGCAAATGCTAATTAAATTCCCAAAAATGTATGATATTCATCTCATGACAGTCACATAGTGGGGTAAAAGTGGTTAATGGTTGGGATATCATGAAAGGGCACTTTTGTACATACACAGATATTGGTGCTGTACCACAACGGTTATGATACTTCCTTCCCAGGGAAGTTAGGTGGTTATTTTTGTTGTTGTTGTTTTTAGTAATTATTTCATTTTTGTACTGCCCTATAGTCAAAGTTCTCTGGGAATTTTACAATAATGCATAAAAACAAACCAATAAAATGCAGGTATCATAAAAACAAGGCATTAAAATACATTTAAAATAGTTAAAATATACATTGAAACTATCTATTGAACTCCAGATTGTTGCTAAAATCTAAAGGGTTTCAATTTTGTACTCACTGATATACTGTTTCAGTCTAGAAGAGTCTTCTGGTTTATTATATTTGGCATTTTATCAGTTTTGTTTTAATATTTGTTTGGAATGGCATTTTACTGTTTTTATGGTTTGATTCTTTATTGCCTCAAGCATTCATGAAGTGCAGGGGCAAATCAGGATAAAGTAACAAATTTCTGTGTGCATCTTTAGGAGAATCAATAGGCATGATAAATATGAAAACTATTATTGATGAATTATTGGATACCTTCATAAAGAAGTCTCTTAGCATATCAGAGTAGAAGTCCGGGAAAATGGCTACTTCATGGAATGACTAGGAATAGTTAACTTACACATTACTGCAGGAGTCCTCAAACTTTTTGAATAGGGGGCCAGTTGAAAGGTGCCAGCGATGGACGTGGGCCACCAAGGTGGTGTGGGCAGGGGGTGCAGGCTGGGGGGGGGGTGCATGTGCACGCAGAAAGGCAGGGGCATGCGTGCGCAGAGATCCTTTTCTCCAAGCGAGTCCAAAACGATCTCCTTGCGAGCAATCTGGCACCTTGCCATGCGCATGCATGGCGAGCTATGCCAAACCAGATAAATGGGCATGGTGGGCCAGATTCAGTCCACGAGCCTTAGTTTGAGGACCCAGGCATTACTGTATACACTTTAGATCTTGGCTGACTAAAACAAGGTATTAAAACGTATAAGAGTAGCACACTTGCTCTTCTAATGCCATAGATTATGTAAGGCACTGATCCATGCAAATTCACTGAGCAATTAGAAATTTACCTGTTAATTGCAGATATGCAATTATACTGAGAAAATTTCTGTAAGCACAAGTACCATGCAATTGTACGTACTTAGTAATACTTTAAATGGATTCAGTCTCCTTTGAAGTATTAATCAGCGTAATTTTTACCCTGCTTGTCTAAAGAAGTCATGACTCAATGTTGCTTATGGCTAACTCAAGGTGTGATTTAATATACTGTACGGTACCCTGGATTTCCAAACAGAATGAAGCGCACTATAAAATATTTTAAAGAAATAAATGCAAGATTATAGGCACAATCCTGCTGAACATCCCACTGATACTTATAAACACCTGAACATGGAGGATTATGAGCATCCAGTGCACAGCAAGAGGAGCAGTGGAACAGACCTCCACCTCCTCACTCCTCTAACAATTCAACTATTCTATTCTGTCCAAGTAGCTGTGCTGCTTTTGAGGGAAGGGGAAGAGACTGGTGCACAGTCAGAATACTTGGTATTCTCATGGCCTTAATCTTTTCCTTTGCCTCTGAACCACCCCTTTTACCCCCCCCCCCACTCCCTGCCCTGGGTTTTCTAACCTTGGAGAAGCAACATGGTTCATTCCACTCTGGCTATGTAGCGAAACAGACCAGAGCAGAGATTCTCAGCTCCAAGGCTTCAGCTCCATTTTTGATCTCAAAGCTGGGAATCTAAAGTATCCAACAGCCCTCACTCCACTAGAGGCGGTCTACAGGGTCATAGGAATGCTTTCTTAAACCTTATGTAGGTATATATAAAATGATTGCAGTACTGCTGTATTGAACAGGAAAACAGAAATATTTTCCCCAAGAAGCTGTAGCTAATGATAAATGCCTAATGCAAATAAAGTTAAAGCTATAAAGTAGTGCCACAAGAAACTCACACTTTCAGATGAGTCTTCCATAGCTTTCACAAATTTGCATGACTGGACAGTACATGAACGAACTGTTTCTGTTCTACCTTCTCTGAATAGCCGGGTCATAGATGCTTCATATGTTAAACAAAATTTTCCCATGTCCTTAAGATGGAAAGAGAAATTTAGATGTTAAGAGCAGATTCAAAGTCAGAGAAATACCATGTACATCTCGCATTATTATATTCATGAATGGAAACACTCTTCCCCAACCCTATGCCTTCCAGATGTTTTGGACTACAGTTCCCAGGATCACAAGCTATACTAGCCAGGGCTGATGAGACATGAACTCCAATGTATCTGAAAGGCACCAGAGGATAATGACAAACATTACGGTCACTAATCTCAACTGTTTTATGCCAAATTAATGACTCAACAGGATCTGTTTAGAATGTTTTCCTCTTTGTTCTGAGCTTCTGATAGAACTATTTCCTTCAGTACTCTCTGCCTTTTTCTTAACAATCTCAGCGAAAAGCATGAGAAGTATTTAGGCACCTTGCCTTACAAACCAATCTGTAAAGCTGCTTGCGGAGAGAGGGGGGTGTCAGTGAGAGTACATATATGTGTATGAGAGAATACTCATACTAGAACAATATGGGATAGACTAGATGGGACAGACTATGCAAATCATCAGTGTATTTGCTGATGGGGGTGAAAGACTCTAGCAGTCCCAAGCTGTCCAAACCATGTAACACCACCTCTTCAAACACACAGTTGCATGGAACAACCTAAAAGCAGCTCCCATGAAGTTTGGGGTGGATGTGAGTAGACTTATACTATCCCATAGAAGTCACTCAGTGGTTAAGTTCCAATTATTTCAACAGGGTTTAAAACCAATGATTGTGCACAGGATTGCAGTATTAATATTTTTTCTAACTCCAAGCTTCTTATGCCTTTTCATGAGAAAGGGACTCTACTACTCAATGCTGTGCATTTGTAAAATGGCATATTATTTGCTGTATTGTCTAGTCCAGGGGTGTCCAAACTTTTTGCAAGGAGGGCCAGATTTGGTAAGGTGAAAATGTGCAGGGGCTGACCGGTCAGCCTGACATTCTTTGAACCATTACCATTAAATGCAAATGAACTATTTTATGAAAGACTAAACAAGTAACTTAACTGCACTAATGTGAAGGGTGATACTGAGATCTCAACTGCATTATATAGGCCAGGACTGGCTCAAAAACAGTGGTTTTGATGCGCAAGATGTCACGCAGGTGAAAGTCACTTAGTCTTGTCCTCACGCGGTTCTTGTTAATGTTCATAACCGAGAATGTCTTCTAGCACAAGTATGTCGAACCAAACAAGCTCAGCATTTTCTTAGCAAGTGTCCGAATCTCTTGGAACCTGTCTTTATCCAGCTGGTGGTAAAAGTTGACAAGAGAGAGTTGTTGCTGCCGACTGCGACACTCGGCGTCACACTACAGCTCAATGAGCTCCAGCTGCTGGTGGTCTGGAGCGTCATCAGGGTCCACAGAGAAAGGAGATGAAAAAAGCGTGATCTCCTTTTCAATAGCGGCAAAATCCCGAAAGCGCTGTTGAAACTCCTCAGCCAGAGGTGAGAAGTCTGCTTCATACCTCCTTATTTGTGCACTCATATTGTTCTGTGGAAAACTGGTCATTATTTCCTGCAGCGATGGGAAATGTGTGGTATTGGGCTGCATTTGTGACAGGTGCCTTTGGAAAAGTAGCAGCTTGGTCCCAAAGGCTTTGATATGTGAATATAGTTGGCTTATCACTGCATTTTGCCCCTGAAGGCTCGTGTTCAGCACGTTCAGATGTTGTGTTATGTCAACTGAAAATCCAAAATCAGCCAGCCAAACAGGATCAGATAGCTCTGGCATCGGTTGTCCCTATTTAATTTCTATGCCGCCCCATTCGCTGAAGCCTCGGGGCGGCTCACAAAACATCAATTAAAATATAATACACTAAAAATATAAAAATATAAAATATACATATTTTTATAAATATTAACATATAAAATATAATGTTTGCCAAGAATTGTCCAATTTCCTCCCTAAGAGAGTAGAAGCGCTGCAGTGCTGACCCCCGAATGAGCCATTTTACCTCGTTGTGATACACAACATCTCCATATTCAGCCTGAATGTCGAGTAGAAACTGTTGAAACTGGACACAGGGCTTTGGAGCGAATATAATTAATAGCCTTCATCACCGGTTTCATAACATGATCATATTTCAGATGTTTGGCACAGAGAACTTGTTGGTGAGTAATACAGTGGAGTTTTATAGCTTTGCCTCCTTTTTCGCTGACTTTGTTACAGACTAGGGTTGATAATCCACTTTGCTCGCCAGCCATGGCAGGTGCGCCATCCGTAATAATCCCAGCGACTTTGTTCCATGGTAGTTTCATGTCATCTACGGCGGAACAAACAGAAACAAATAAATCTGTTCCTCTTGTTTGGTCCTTAAGGCTCTGGAGGTCAAGTAGCTCTTCACTCACGTTCATGTCATTGTCCACTCCGCTCAAAAAAATCAATAACTGAGTGGTGTCAGATGCATCCATGCTTTCGTCACAGCCTAATGAAAAAAAGTCAAACTCCACTCCTTTTGCCTCTAACTGTCTCTTAATATCAGATGAAACATCTTCTATTCTCCGTACCACAGTGTTACGAGCCAGGCAAACATTGGCAAACTCTTCCTTCTTCTCAGGACACATTTTCTCCACCATTTTCATCACGCAGTCTTTAATAAATTCATCCACAGTAAAAGGTTTGCAGTGCTTGGCAATCAGCATTGCCACCTCGTAGCTCGCCTCTGTGGCATTTTCATTTGACTCACGGGCTCTTGTGAAAAAGCACTGCTATGCCATTAAAGCAGCTTCCAGTTGCTTCAATTTTTCGCTGTGTTCGTTCCCAGTTAGCTTGTTGTAGTTAGCATGTTTCGTCTGGTGG